CAAATGGTGATTCTGTCTAGAAAGGTTAAGTCACGAGACCATCCACATCGACTTATTAGTCAACATCTATGCCCTAATTGAGCGCCTAATCGACTGATTTGTTAATGCCTAATGTTTCAATTGAAGAATTTCCATTTACATCTCTTACACTAAATTATGTAAGGATTCATTTCTTTGAAAGGGAGAGAGGATGAAAACCTCAAGTTTATTGAGATCAATAGTTGGTTAGATATTAGAATAGTCATCATGGAATAATACCTAATTCACCAATTTATTACTTATTTATTTATACGTACAATTGCATTAATTTAACGATCACATGTCTACTACAAGGTCATAGAGAAGATGAATACAAGAAATATATTTATCACCCATTAAAAAATGCTCAAGATATTAAAATGTCGAAATATTAGTCCCTATTTTTTCAAACTTATTTTCAATCACATTTCATGGGATCCATAACTTTAATTAATTTTTTTATCAAAATCCGTTAAAAATTTGATTTTTATCTAAACCAAAAAGGGGCTAATTTACTTTTTAAAATCGTATACCTATGTGCCAACAACCTAGGAGTGGATTGAATATGTAGTTACAAAACTTTTCGATTTCAATCAATTAAAATAATGAAAGCTGATTTATATTTTTTTAATGTTCTCTGGAGTAAACACATAATAAACGTTCTACAGTAATATTCAGTTAATTATTCTATTTGAATGCAAGTGTTCACAATAAAAGTTAGTTTGCACAAACCAAAATTCAATACCTTAATAAAAAATCACCTAAAAGCTTGCTTGTGACAGGTTTTTTTTTATTTAAATCGCAGCCATGCATTTTATGGAATCCATAACTTTTTCCCCGTTTTTAACCATACATTCTCATTTTTCACTTAGAAAAAATCTCTTACAAATAAATTCTAAGATATATTTTAATATTATTCTTGGATTAAGTTAACTATAATAACCATGCAAGTGACAACGGAAAGTAAATTGATTAAAATTCTGGACGTCTTTCTCTCACTTCGAAATGTGTGAGACGTTTACTTTAGCTCTTCAAACCGTGAATTATTCCACATAAATGACTATAAAAAATAGGGAAGATCTTGAAAATAGTAAGGAAAGTCCAATCAATTTGAATTCTTTATAATCTCCTACTGCAATTGAAATAAAAATATTTTAGGACATCATATAATATGACAACTACAATATTTTTTCATCAAAATTTTCACTTTAGATACCAAATACACTTGGAAAAATATAATAAACTCGAGATTCAAATTGTGAGTAAATTATGTTTACACATATTCATTAGGTGTATTCGAGCGAGCACGTGAACTTCACTAAGATATAGGTGCACATCACATTTCTCAACACGTCATCCATTTAATTAGGATTTTATCAAACGTGTATAGTCTACAGAAGTTCGTATCATAAAATTCTATGAAATTTATAATAAAGTCAATCAAGTAACAATTAATATCGATTTATTTAATATAAAATATGTTGTCAGTCATATTTTCCCAATAGACTCGTCAAACTACACAACCAAATTTAAAAAATGGACTGATCAAACCACACAACACAACCAAACGGACTCATCAAACTGAACAATCAAAATAAAACATGGATATAAAATGAACGAGATTAATTTTTGACTCAAATCACAATACTATATCTTTAGTTTGATTGCTCCAGAGTACAATATCTACCAGTGGAGAATGCTTGGATAAAATGTGGATTTGATCATAGCAAGGAGGGAAGGAAGCTGAAGCTTTGCATACAAGATCACTGGTATGCAAGAGAGTGCGACTATTGGTACGCGAATCAGGTCATTTTTATGAACAAATACAATAAATAATGCAGAACCGAAGGCAATCGTTAAAAATATGAAAGAGAAGAGCATCGAAATTAGACCAATTATCACTCTGTGGGGCAAGGCACGAAGATAATCACGAACTCCATAGCGGGAGGTGAAAATGGATAAGAAGGTTAGAACACTAGTGATAGAAGAAAAAAGTGCAAGAGCATCTGCAATGGCGAAGACCATGAAGGAACTTTCGTTGGAGAAATTGGGTATGCCATTGGAATCGTTTCCTCCAGGTACTTGGAATGCGGCAGCAAATGCCACTGTGGCAACGAGTGATCCTGCAACTGAGCTTGCAGTTGCAATTCCTCTCATCCATTCTTTTTCTTTTGCAGCCATTTCAGCGTGCTGATCTTGGAAGAGTACAAATGGCATCTTTTTTTGTCCATTCTTCGACTTTAATTCTTGAGGCGTTACAAGCTCGCTCACTTTCTGCATCAAGCAGGAAATTTGGTAGGAGATCAATTTTCATATTCAATGAGGGTGCATAGTGGAAAAATTGGTCAGTCATTTATAACCTGAAATGGTTCTCACCGAGAAGAGAGAATGTTTTCTACCAGTTGAAAAACAATATTCGAGTTATAAGCGCTACATTATTCCAGTGAATGCATTGAGTGGATGAAGGTAAAAATGTTTCCTAAAACTTCAATTAGAAACCCATTCTGAAACATTTTTCTCTGGAGTTCACTACTTTCAAATTCAAGTGGAGGCAAAAACAGGCAATTCTTTTCTGGCCTGAGCTTAAACATAAGACAGGTAAGAATATCATTATTACCTTAAACCACTGAAGTTCAAGCTGCATTTTAAAAATAGCTCCGGAGTC